TTATAAAAATAGGTGAATCTGAGCTCACAGATTGAGGAATTAGGAGTGGCAAATGAGGGAATTACCATGCATACTACAAAGAAGACCTAACAAAATCGATATAGCACAATTGAAATTTGGACCTGAATATCAAATTTAGATCCTATACTACTAATTACTCCCAAATTTAAAAACAGAAAACATTATAAACACAGTTCTACCAATTTTAGAAACCTTTCTATTCCAAAGTAGCACCAGCACCAGGCACTTGCGTCTGGAACTGCTCTGCCAATTTCTTCAGGTTCTCCAAGTTATCAGGGCTTGAATTTTTTAGGTTAAACCATTCATTTAATCAAGTTCTAATAGCAGCAATCAAACGGGAAAATACCACAAGAAACAGGAAGTGTTGCGTACCCAACTGATGAAAAATTTGAGGAAGAATGTCTTGCAATTCATAACACATTAATAAACTCACTCAGAACTTCTAACAATTTATTCAAAAATCTTCATAATAGATTATCAAAGCTCACATGGTTGGCATAGAAAATCAGTTAATTAAGGCAGAATCAGTTAAGCAACTAACGAATGGAACAACAAAAACACCCAATCCCAAACTCACCACCACTGCAATCAACCAATCACCACCGCCAGTCACCACTGCCAACACAACCACCACTGTAATTTCCAATCAACACAATCGAAATCAGTGGGTCAAAACCAATCAGCACAACCAAAATCAAAAAAATAAAAATCCCCCAAACTTGCAGATCGAAAAGAGAGATAACTTTACCTTGTCGAGAACGACGCCAATGGGTTGCCGAGAACTTTACCTTGCCGAGAGAGTACGCAGAGACGGGCCAAACCACACCAGCGTCGCGAAGAATAGGTCGCGACGCTGCGTTCACGCCTGCGAAGAATGGGTCGCCGTCGCGACGCTGCGTTCACGCCTGCGAAGAATGGGTCGCCTCCCCATGCCGGCTCCGATACCGGCTCATCTCCTTCGTCCAGAGGGAAGGAAGAGAGGGGATGGTGGAAGAAGTGGGAAGAAATTGAAAATGGGCAGTGGAGCTCTGGAGGTGTAAAAATGGTCGTTTCGCGTGTTTTCGATTTTCCCCCTGTTTTTGCTTGAAAAGAGCCAAAACGTTGTTTTTATTGTTTTGTGTTTTGTGTACAAATTTTTTATCATTTTCAAAAACGCGTTTTCAAAAAATAGGAAAGAGAACGCGTTTTCATTGTTTTGGAAAACCGAAAACAGAAAACGACCCAAAATGGCCAAAGAGAATACCACCTAAGTTTTTTAATATATAGGGAGACTTTTGTAGATTGTCATTGTTCAAACTAACACAACGGACATCACAAGAAGCAAGCAATATTTTGAAACTCGGCCAAGATATTGATTCATAAAAAATAAATAGTCAAGAATTAAATGATCGAATAGAGTTTATTCTTGTCAAAAATAATTAATTAAATAAATATTTTGTCAAATTTATTTTGGTAAATATTTAAGATCTGTTTGACGTAGATTTTTAGTAAACAAATTGATAAAATTTAGTTGGTCCCATGAAACATATGGTAGAGAAATAGATTAAAGTTGTGGTTGAATGAAATGTGTATTTAAAAATAAAGTTTTACCAATTTTTTTTCGCAAAAAGTAGCTTTACTAGCCAAGTAATAAGCCCATGCTTGCAGAGATTATTTGATAAGAGATTTTATGAAAAATGAATTAAAATAAAATAAAATTGTATAGCTAAAAAATTATGAGTCAGTGTGTAAATTTTTTTATTAGGAGATGTCTAAGGGTGGCTCGGTCCTAACATCCACGAGCTGAGCTCGTGGCTCGTTAGCCGAGTTGAGCTTCAACTCGCAAGTTCGTTAATTTTTTTTTTTTCAAAAATTAAACCCTCTTCTTTTATTCAAGGTTGGGACCGGTTACTTAAATTTCGAGTAGACGGGTACACGAACAACTTGTTTCATGTAAATTTTTTTTAAAAAAATTAAAAACAATATTATAAAATAATAAATTTTGATTAATATGGTTAAATGAAATATTACTTATCTAACAACATGGAATTTCGACATATTTATCTCGCAATTGAAAATGAGCATATTCCCAATCACATTTATCTTCTCCCTATCTCAATCACATTTATGAGTCGACATGTAAAATTTTTATTAGTAGATGTCTAAGGGTGGCTCGGCCCTAATGCCCACGATCTCGGCTCATGCTCGTTACTCGAGGGGCTAGCTCGTGGCTCGTTGGCTGAGTTGAGCTTTGACTCGCAAGCTCGTCAAGCTTTTTTTTACAAAAATTAAACCCTCTTATTTTATCCGAGTTTGAGATCGATTACTTAAATTTCGAGTAGACGGAGTTAAAAATTGTTCACGAACAACTTGTTTCATGTAAATTTTTTAAAAAAACTTATAAAATATATTATAAAATAATAAATTTTTATTAATATGGTTAAATTAAATATCACTTATCTGACGACATGCAATTTTGACATATTTATCTTGCAATCGGAAATGAGCACCTTCCCAATCACATTTATCTTCTCCCTATCTCAACTCCCTGAACCCTAATTAGCAATTAGTAATTTCATTATATTGCCACAATCACATTTATCTTCTCATGTTTATGATTTCTTTGTCCCCAAACCTTTAGGTGTCGTTCTCTTTGTCGTTTTCAAGCCGTTTTCTGTTTTCGATTTTTCAAAACGGCGAAAATGCGTTCTCTTTGTCATTTTCGAAAACGGCTTGAAAAACAGGAAAAAAAAAATTCTGAAGAAAATGCAAAACAGCTGATAGCCGTTTTGGCCGTTTCCTTCACAAATTGGAAAACACGGGATCACGAATTGGAAAACACGGAAACAGCCCAAAACTCTCCTCCTTTCTTCTGCCAATCCACACTCCACCGCCACTTTCCAACCCTCTAAACTCCGGCCAACCTCCTCCAAAATGGCCGGAGTTATATACCATTGTAAAGCCCTCAATCCCATCTTCAATTACCACACAAACAACTATCCAATCGTATACCAAAATCAATCAAAAAAAATCCTCAAAAACTGATTCGGCACAAATTGCTTCTGCCGAAATCTCAACATTCGGAAACACCCAAGGTCGCGCACCACCACTAGTCAATTGCCCACCCCCAGACGACTCCAGCTATGGCTTAAAAACTCACCGACGGCTTCCATAAAATCAGTCGATTCTGGAGATAATCGAAGGCGACTTCAATAAGATCAGCCTGTTTTGGAGATAATCGAAAGTGACCCATGGTAGTATTAGATGCACATT